AATGTTGTTAGAATGATATCAGTTTTGATTTGTTTTAGGCTGATTTTCTAAATTTTAGGCAGTGCTTTTACACAAGGAAGTATTTTAAAAGTATTTTGAGAAGTCAGAGATAGGAGTCCTCAGCATAACTGGGCTGATCACAAAAAAGCTAGCCCTTTAGGGATGTCCCAAATATGCGTTTTCAAGAGGCAGTTGAACTTTCTGGTTTTTCTTTGAAGACGTTACACTTCTCATCCAGGAAGCTTCTTCAGCTCAGAGCTGAAGAACTGAAGAAGCTCCTCAGATGAAAAGCGAAATGTCTTCAAAGAAAAACCAGAAAGTCCAGTTGAAAAAGCCCCTTTTGGAACAACCATGACCTGGATGACTGAGAATCTCCATAGTCCTTTAGGGATGGATTTAAGAATTAACCCTGTTTTTGTGGAGCAATGAGTTAATGTACCAGAATGAATGTGAGCTGTGCCTTTTCTGCAGAAATGACAAAAATGGTTTCCTTGAGCGCTTCATTCCAAGTCATCTTTCATTGCAACTTGTTAGCTATAGCGGTATTCTGAAAAGCAGCCCCATCTGATGTTCCTGGCAACAAAAGAAAAGTGATACACCATGGGAGAACCTTGTGAATGTAACTCAAAAAAATAACCTAGGAGCAGATTTACTACAGACAGCTGGCTGAAGTTCTAACAATCTGACATCGGCACGAACCTGTATTTGGAGAATTATCACTCTCATTGAGAAGCGGTTTAGCAACTTAAAATGATCTGGGATGGACATCAGAGTGATCCTTAGCATGTTTATTCAGAAACTAATTCTATGATATTTAACACAACTCATTCTATGTGTGTGCAGTTAGTTTGTAGATATATAGCCCAGTTACGTCCATCCCCACACCTCCTCAAGAATAAGCCCTATTGGAGTGAAGCGTTTCTCTCAAATTGCCATCAGTCTTGAACTGAGTTACTTATGAGTGTGGAGTCAACACAGAAAAAGATGTTGATTTACAACATAAATCCAATACTGACTTGTTAAAAGAAAAAATTGGTTTATTTCAAAAGCTACCTTTAATGTTTACTTCTTTTGAAGAAGTAATGAAGAAATCATGATAGAAAAACTCCATCTTCAGATTACAGAATAAGAGTTGGAAGCAACCTTGGAGGTATTCTAGTCTCTTCTAAACAAAAGACCCTACACCAGTGGTGGCCTATACCGAAAACTAGCCCCATTTCATCACTTCCTGTTTTTTCGAAAATACCAGAAGTGACAAAATGGGGCTAGTTTTTGGCCTACAAAGCTTGCAGAAGCCTGCAGAAGCCAAAAAAAGGCCTCAAACTGGCTGAAAATCAGCTGTGAGGCATGTACATGTGCGGTGAGGTAAGTTTGCCTGCAGCTCGCGTGCTGGCACAAATGGCTCTACGTGGGACCTGTGGCACATGTGGCATAGGTTCGCCATCACGGCCCTATACTATTGTAGGCAAATGGCTAGCCAATCTCTTCAAAAACCTCCAGTGATAGAGCACCTGCAACTTATGGAAGCAAGTCGTTCCATTGACTACAGGTAGTCCTCGATTTAGATCCATAATTAAGCCAAAATTTTCTTTTTGCTAAGTGAGACATTTGTTAAGTGAGTTTTGCCCCATTTTATGATCTTTCTGGCCACAATTATTAAGTGAATCACTGCAGTTATTAAATTAATAACATGGTTGTTAAGTGAATCTGGCTTTCCCGTTGACTTTGCTTGTCAGAAGGTGACAAAAGGTGATTCACACATGACCCCAGGACACTGCATAAATAGATATGAATCAGTTACAAGTGTCTGAATTTTGCTCACATGACCATGGGGTTGCTGCAACAGTCATAAAGGTAAACAACACTCATAAATCACTTTTTTTCAGTGCTGTTGTAACCTTGAACGGTCACTAAATGAACTGCTATAAGTCAAGGACTATCTGTACTTGTTCTCACTGTCAGGAAATTTCTCCTTAATCGGATCTCTCTTTGATAAGCTTCCATCCAGTACTTCTTGTCCTGCTCTCAGATGCTCTGGAGCAGTGGTCACCAACCTTTTGGACCTCAGGGACCACCAAACTCATACTTTTAAATCCCACGGACCACTAGTTTTCAAGGAGAAAGAGAGAGAGAGAGAGACAGACAGACAGACAGACAGACAGACAGACAGACGGTATTCTGTGATTGGTAGGAAAATGAGGTGGGGGATTTTTCTGCAGACCTTTTGGGGGATTTTCTCAGGGTCTCTGTCTTTATTTGGGATCATAGGATATCGTTTCTAGCCCCATTTTCAGGGGGAGAGAGAGAGAGACAGAGAGAGACTTTTGGCTACATGTAAGGAAAGCAGCAGAAGCAGCAGAAGTCTTTCTTTCTCTCCTGGTGGAGTTTGGGGGAGAGAAAGACTTTTGCTGTTTTCCTTGCGTGCAACCAAAAGCAGAAGAAGAAAGAAGCAGCAAGAAGCAGCCCAGTGGCCAGGCAAGTTCCCGCTCTCCGCCCTTTCCCCCCTCCCCTCACTACCTCGTGTTGTTTGCAATACAAGCGATGCAAGCCTTGTGTTCCCGCGGGCCATGTGAGCAGCACAGCCTTGTTCCCGCACAGCCTGGATTAATTGCTTTGGGGGGGTGCTCTGGGGGTGACATTTCTTTGTGGACCACCAAAATTTTCTCGCAGACCACCAGTGGGCCGCGGTTGGTGACCACTGCTTTGGAGAATAGGTTAACCCCGTCTTCTCTGTGAGCCCCTCAAAATTTGGAAGACTACTATCATGTCACTCCTAGCCTTTCTCTTTATTATATTAGACGTGCCCAGTTCCTGCAACTGTTCATTGTATGCTTTTGCTTCCAATTCCCCTAATTGTCATTGTTGCTCTTCTTTGCACTTTTTCTAGTCTCCAACATCTTACCATGGTGATCAAAACTGGACACAGTGTCTTACCAATGGAGTGTAAAATAGTATTAACACTTCACGTGATTGTGATACTATCCCACTGATGATGCAACCAGGACTGTATTGGCTTTTTGGCAGATGCAGCACACTGCTGGCTCATATTTAATTGGTTGTGCACTAAAATACCTAGATTCCTCTTACAGTTCATAATAATACACATCCTTCCCACCGTAAAAATATAATGCACAATGTTTACATGTTGAAAAACACTGATTACTCATACTCAAGAATATTATCATTGAAATAAGGGAGCCATTGGTCCTATATATTTAATTAAACTACTCCAAGCATTATATTAATCTAGGATCCAATCAGTGGTTCCAAGAAGGTCATGGGGACAGAATGTAACTTTGGAGTGCTTTCCAATACACAGTCCATGAGATACAACAAAAATTCTATGGTACTACTGTTGGGTACAATATAAGAAGTTGTAATTTTCCACAATATAGAATAGCATATAGCTTATGAAAGACATATTATACCATATATATAAGGTTTATTCTTTGTTCAAATTACCTAGAGTTAGTATCTTAACATACAGCCACACTACAGCCATACCTCAGAAATAAAGGAACTAAAAATTACCAAAAAATCCCATACTGAAAATGATAACATAATTATAGCAAGAACATTATGAAATAATATGACCAAAATGTTCTACTTTCCTGCCAGGGCAAATCAAATGTTGGCCTGCCTCAGCTTTCTTTCTATGCCCCACTTTTACGGAGAACACAAATATGCCAATATTGTAGAGCAAGAAATGACTAAATTCACATATATCAAAAAGTGTCACACTTTCTTAGATGGCCTTAACAAATCTATTACAATTGTTTCAGTGGTGGGATTCAAAAATTTTTACTACTGGTTCTGTGGGCATGGCGTGGTTTGGTGGGCATGGCAAGGGAAGGATACTGCAAAATCCCATTCCCTCCCCACCCCACTAACCTGCTTTACAGCTCCATTCTCCTGTGCAGGGCAACAAAAGAAGACTCAGCCAATCAGCTGGGACTCAGGAGGCAGTGAATAGATGGGGGTGGGGCCAGTTAAAGGTGGTATTTGCCGGTTCTCCGAACTACTCAACATTTCCACTACCGGTTCTCCAGAAATGGTCAGAACCTGCTGAATACCTCTGAATTACTTATTGATGAGGGACTTGTAACCTGTCTCATACAGAAGCACATTTGCATAAACCGCCCCACCTTCTCTCTTTTTTTCCTGATTTTCTTTTTGAATCCTATATTAGTCTATTATTCTCCGTATCTCATGAAGTGAATGCCAGCTTATGAGAGTTCATGCTTTGTTACATTGTGTTAATTAGAAAAGGTGCAACCAGCTTCCTGATTTTTTCCCACCCGACTGTTCTTCATCTTCTTAGTGACAACTTTCTCCTAAGTTTCATCTATTAGGATGCAAAACTTGAGAAAAGGATTTTTTTCCCCAAAAGAAAATGGCATGGGAAACATAACGCTATCCCATAGTGTGGTGGTACTTATGTATATTGTATAGCCACTCTAGTGGCTCTTGGAGATTTTAAGGGATTTTATTTCCCAACCTTTCGTATTTAGTGTCAAAAATTTCAAGGTTCATGCTAAGAGCAATGAATGAAGGCCATCTAACATTTGTGATCAAAATATTCCATCCCATAATTCTTAATGGATCAGGGGGGGGGGGAGACAGAGGAGAGGAAATGATCAGAAAAGATAGATTACAGATAGAAAATAACATCTCTCCAGCTGTAAGAGAAGGTGAATTTAGAGTTGTTGCAAATAAAACTCACAAATCTGTGATACTTTTTGTTTTGTTTTTTTTCCTACTTGCAGTCAATAGATCATTTAAGGATAACTTAGAGATCAGTTCCTTAATCATTCTGGGAAAGGTGCTGTTTCCCCAGGACTTTATGACTGCAAGGTGAGAAAAGCTGTCGAACAACCCACTCCTTTTGTTATCTAGGTCCCTCCCCACATTTCTAAGAGATGTGAATACGCCACTGTATGTTTAGCTATGATTGTTTACATTTATTCCATTATTCAGCTGTGTTTCTTATATTTATTCCACTACTTGTACCTGAAGAGTTTAACGCAGTGGTTATAACAGTCAGCTACAGCTATCAACCCGTGATCCAATATGGTGATATCGCTTGGTCCTTGCAAACCCTCACTCACCACAACATCACAGAGGGTTGAATCAGGATTAAACATCACGATGCAGTTTTGACCTTGATCGGAAACTAAGAAGTTTCCATGACCATCCACGGTGACTCCAGAAGGGTTTTCAAAACTGAATTTTTTCCCATGACGGGGACCTATGGTCTTCCTCAGGCTTCGTTCCCTGTCAATAATTTTGATGCAGCAGCCTTGAAACCTTCCAAACAGTTGCCCTTCTGCAACCAGCATGTCTTCATTCTGAGTAGATGATGAGAAATTGGGGGAAAAAAAAACCAAAAACCTATGTGGTTAACTACAGTAAGTTTACATGAGTCTTAAAAAAATCATATCCTTCTTCCTGAGATCGATCCAAGTAGGGACAAGATGCTATACAAGTAGCCCACGACATACGGTCACAGCTGAGCCCAAAATTTATGTTGCTAAGTGAGAAATTTGTTAAGTGAGTTTTGCCTCATGTTACGACTTTCCTTGCCTCATACGTCAAGTGAATTATTGCAACTGTTAGGTTAGTAACATGGTTGTCAAGTGGATCTGGCTTCCCCATTGACTTTGCTTTTCCGAAGGATGCAAAAGGGGACTGCATGACTCTGGGACACTGAAACCATCATAAACATGAAGCAGTTGCCAAGCACCCAAATGTAAACCACATGATTGTAGGGATGCTGCAAGCATCTTAAGTGTGAATAATGGTCATAAGTCACTTTTTTCAGTGCCGTTGTAACTTCAAACGGTCACTAAATGAACTGGTGTAATCAAAGACTACCTAGAGCAAGGGTGTCAAACTCAAGGCTTGGGGGCTGGATCCAGCCCGGGGGGGGGGGTGCTTAGATCTGGTCCACGGGGCCGCCCTAGAAACAGCAAAGGACTGGTCCACGGTGCCTCTGCCAGCAAAAAACAGAGCTCAGGAGGGCCACCTGCGACCCTCCCAGGCTCCGTTTTCAGCCATGATGGCCTCCTGTTGCCCTCTGTCAACGAAAACAGGCTCCCGAGCTCTGTTTTCAGCCATGACAGCCTCCTGCCGCCATCAGCCAGGGAAAACAGAGCTCAGGAGCTCATTTTCATTGGCAGAGCGCTTGGGCCACCACAGACACCCCTAACATGAGTTATGTCAAGCTGGCCATGGCCACAATCGCCGCACCCTCCCTGGCCCCCGAGGTCAAATACAAACCTGATGCAGCCTTCAATGAAATCGAGTTTGACACCCCTGACCTATAATATCTGGCTGGAGATGACCAATATATATGGAGTATTCCATAGAAAGTAAGACTGTTCTTTTCAGTAGCTTTGCCACTGAAATCCACTGACAGTCATCTAGTCGAGTGACACATCAAAAATTGAAAATAATGTTAGGGATAACATTGTTTACCCTAACTGGTTTGGGTAAAAATAATAAATAAGGTATCATGGTTTGTTAGTTAAAGTGTGTGTAACCTTAACTGCAAGAATGTAATTAAGGGTGTGGTTGTAAAAGCACTATATAAGAAGCGAGGCAATTGCAGCTCGCTCTCTCTGGCTTGAAGATCCCTAATTACTGAAAGGATTGATGACTGCGTTCTTGCTGGAACGGGGAGAGAAAAGGAGTGTTGATATTTCTCAACGGAGAGAAGATAAAGATTGGACTGATTTATTGTAAGTGAACTGACATTGGCTATTCAACACGGACTTTGCAAATAGAGTATCCCTGACAAGATTTGACTGAAATTGATATATGACTAATGGACCGTTTATTATGACTATGCTATAATTCTTAAATGGAATAAACTATATTTTTTGATAGCACAAGCGTATCTGTATTTTTACTGCGTGTTAACTAGAAAACTTATCTCACACATTTACCTGTCTTCCTATCTGACTTCGCTGCACGTTCTGTTTAGTTTGTTTTCCTTAACACCCGTTGGGGAATCCAGGCTTAACAAATAGTACTAGTTAGGACCAAACCAGGCTGGGATGCTCCCACAACAGATTTAAATAAGGATGTCAATAGTACACAAGCATATTGGATAGAAATTCTATCTCATTTTCTGAGTTTTCAAATGTTTGTGGTTGTTACTTACATTGCTATCGTTATACTTTTATGCCAAGATGTCATACCTTCTCTACTACCAATCCCTCTATGAATGTTGAGCAAACTTTTTACCCTTTGGGTCATCCAATCATACCTCATTGACAGCCATACGCACCGGCCTGTAGAATCCCTCTATTGTCTGTGTCTTCAGGACGGCATTCATTCTCCAATCCACTCCAATGATGTTGATTTTTCCTCCATTTGTCCAGTCGGACACTGCAATTTTATTGGACTTCAGGACTGTTACCCCATATGAATAAGGCCAGGTGAGTTTGGGAGACTTCAGTTCATGGATCAGTTCTCCATCCTTAGAGAAGAGCTGGATGATCTTAGTCCCACTGGTCACAAGTAACACACCGTTTTTCATGCAGGTGATATCCCCCAGCCCTTTTACTGGTTCGAATCCATATGAAAAGCGTTGTTTAGGACGACCGTCAGTGCTGTAGATCTGGACACACCCAGAACCACTGTCTTTCACAACCAAATCGCCTTCAAGGGTTGTTGTCAGACTGGTTGGCCAGATCAGCTTCCCTTGATTTGTACCAAACCCACCCACAATTTTTATTAGGGAATTGTAATAAATCTTCTGGATTCCAGAAAGTTTCCATTTGTTATTGAAATGGAGAGATTTTTCTATCTAGGAAACAACGAAAGAAACAGGAAAACGGATTGCCTACTGATAATTCAGGAATTAGTTCAAGTACTGGATAGCACACGTTTTCTTCCGCTATAGATCCTAATTCTCAGAAGCATAGAAGGATTTCCTCCACCAGGTGAACCACTGACTCCAACTTTTCTAGTTAAAAGATACCTCTCTTGGGCATTTTCAAATGAGATCTTGGTGCTATTTCAAACTAAGCCCGGATCTGTCTGATCTCACAAAGTCAGCCATCTGGAAAATGAGTCAATCTAACACTGTCTTAGCTATGGAGCATCTGAAATTACAGCAAAGGTATTCTTTACACTTAGCAGTACTTAGCTCTACATTGGTTGTAACTGGCCTGTTGTCCCACTCATGAACTATTCCTCCAGCTTTTCTACTGCTTTCCCTCGGGTTTTGCGCCCCCCCCCCACCTCAAAAATTTTGAGTTTACAGAACTGAAGACAATTATAGGTTAACTTCAAGTTGATTTAAAAGAGTTAGGGATAGAAACTGATGATATGGAAATCTTCCAATATAGTTCTTGAGCCGTAGTGGCACAGTGGTTGGAATCCAGTACTGCAAGCTAATTCTGCTGACTGCTGGCTGCTGCAGTTCAGCAGTTCGATTCTCACTGGCTCAACATGGTCTCAGCCTTCCATCCTTCCGAGGTTGGTAAAATGAGGATCCAGATTCTTTGGGGCAATATGCTGACTCTGTAAACCGCTTAGAGAGGGCTGTATATAAGTCTAAGTGCTATCGCTGTTTAACTCAGGGACAGGATGGATGATATCCAGAAACTTGTTTACTGATGGAGATGTACAGCTACAATAATTTACCTCCTTGAACATAGTTGGGGAGAAATAAAGATGTCACGCTAACGCTTCAATTTAAATATTAGCAGGTTATCCCTTGGCCTCCATTTCTTTGAGATCTCCCATCACTCTCCCTTCTTCCCCCTGTCTTTTTTCTGTAACTTCCCTCTTTTGTCCATCAGCTCCCATTGTTACATCAATGCTGCAAAATGTTGAAGGTATATGAAGTGGGTAGGTGGAGAGTACAAACAAGGCACAAAGCAAATGAGAACAATCCTTGTACTTTTCATCATCAAGCACTTTCAAGTAATAAGAATCTAACATTTCCTTGGTCAGGAGTGGAAGTTCCTCCTATAATATAATACAGGGAGTCAAAATGACGTCCTATATATTCCAAGATTACCCAGAAGGTTAAATGAGGAGATACAAAGAGAAGGTTAAAACCATTTATTTGTCTATTGAATTTATACTCCACTTTTTCCACCACAGTATATTGCTTAAGATAATTAATAATAATAGAAAAATAAACACTTATTGCAAACCCAGTTTAAAAACCTAATTAAAACTGGGCTTGATTTCTGGTAGTTTCAGGGACATATTAATGTTGTTTTCTTGGCAGCAATCAGAAATGATTCACTCCATCCTTCATTCTTGGTGTTTTTTAACACTCCAGGCTACAAGCCTGGCAGCTCCTGGTGGTCTCCTATCTAGGCAGTAAACAGTTTGTACACAACAGCCACACGATATAGCCCCATATTACTTTTTGTGGCAAAGCCTGCCTGAATCAATCAATCGATCCTTCCTTCCATCCTTCCTCCCTCCCTCCCTTCCTCCCCTGACAAAAGGAAAATAATAACACAAGCTAGCCCAGTTTTTCTTTACTATTAATCCCAAAGCCAGAAAATAGCCACTGAGATGAAGGTCACAGGTTGAAGAAGTTGAGGCAAAAGTTCAGGTTGATAGTGCAACAATCAGTAAACATAACATACTATGGTATGTTTTTGTTGCTAAAATTATGCAAAGGGTTACTATACAAAGTAAGGAGTAGTTGTATAAATACTGATCTGCTTGATTTTTCAAAATATTTTGCATAATTCCACCTGCAAATTCAAAAGGCATTTATCTTTCTTTCTACTGACTAACAACATTGTATTTGAATAGATTAAATCTTTTCAACCAAGAGGCCTTCTAGCTTGTTCTACATTCTTTGTCTACACAACATTGAAGGGCTCACTATAACTGCAGATCTTCAAAGCCTTTTAAATTATACAAGTACAGACTTGTAAATTATATATGTGATGTTTCAGTAATGTAATCGCAAGCCAGTATTTTACAGAGATCAAAGGAAAACGGATGTTCTTCTTGAAGGATAGTTGGTAAGAATTAATAAAGAAATTGCATACTCATAAAGAGGTGATACTATTTATTAAAGGAATATTTACAGTGCTACTTGGGTTATTTTTTTCCAGTGATCCTCTCCCAGTCTTCTGTAAAATATAAGGAGCCTACATAATGTTTTTCATCTTCCAATTTAAAACCAACTCATTATAGAACCATTTAATTTAATAAAGGCAGCTATACTGTACGCTTTAACTTCTTGCTTTATAATTTAGCTATGTAAGTATACAGAATCATTATACTGTATATTTAGGGATTCCACATTTTTGATATGCTACAGTAACTGGTTGGAAACAGAAAAAGAGAAGAAGATTGCCTAAATGTGCGAAGATTGTCTTTAATACCTTCAGGCTGTCTTCTCCAACATATTCAAAGAAATCCTAGTCTGTTCAAAGCACACCAATTTTGGAACATATGTTTATGATCTCCTTAATAGATTATTTTTGATCCATATTGATAAAATTCTGATTATAAACTTAGTCAGCACCTGGATGCACTGCACTTGTCATTGAGATCCAATTCCAATGGGTTCTTCTCATTACAATTGTACCTGATAACTTGGTCTCTGGAATCAAGGATCAACTGGATATTTCATCTCTGCAACAGAGCTCTTTGCCTGGCCGCATCTCCTCTTCTTCATCCTCCCCCTCCCTCCCCCCTTCTTCCAAAATGCATGATGCTGCTTAAGGAAATGCTCAAAAAAGACCCTCTTGCACTTCAACAAAGTAGCTGGCATTTTCTCTGATCTACTTGACAGGGATGTCAATCTGAGTTTATAATGTATGCTTTTAAGGAGGTCCAGTTTCAATTGTATGTTATTTGTGGATTTTTATCTCTGGAATTATTAACATACATTCTTCTTCCTTTTAAATCAGCAAAAAGTTGGTGGATGTAAGTAGTGAGTATGTAGATACCCTAATTTTAGTGTGGCTTAACAAACATGACTAGGTAAACACTATTGGTCCTGTAGTGGTTTTTTTTTTTTAATTGCTGACCAGTTTTAGGTCAGAAATTAACAGGTCTTGCAACTTTCTTTCCCTTCCCATCGACTGTCATCCCTTGGCAGGACAAACAATCACTCTCCATCTATCCTGGATTATCCTGTGCCCTCCAATAGTTCTAAACCCCAACCGAGGGAAGGGAGTTGTTTCAGTTTTCTAGAGGAATATCGGTGCTATGATATTTCTATAAATTTAAAATACCATGACTTATCAAGAGATCAATGGAGCAATATTAAAAACTTTTTATTTTTAGCAATCCAAAATATATCCTGCCGAATAAAGCATCACATTTCTGTATTCTTCAAAAGAAGCATTGCTGCACAGTCATTCTTTAGAGGTCTCCTTTAAAAATATGCCTATATTTGGGAGTTTCGGTTTTCCATTAAATTAATATATCCATGTAAGTGGTTGGGGAGAAGTTCCTTTTTTGAGGAAGAGTGGGAATTTTCATTGTTTTTCATTGCTAGTTGCCCAGAGTTGTCTGGGGAATGTTTTGCCAATACCAAAATAGAATTAATTAATTAATTAATTAATTGATATTTCAGTTATAGACACCACTTTTGAAGACAGTGAGACTAATGTTATGTAAGACTGTGAAATAAAGCTTTTCAAAGTTGTTGGCCCTAGTATTAGGTATCAATAGTCCTGTAGGCTGATTTTGCTGTTAAATAAAAACAGAAAAAGAAGCTCTTGAAGCCATGATTCAGCAAAGAGCCATTCTCACAGCGTCCTTCCATGACTAATTGAAGCTTGTTAATCCTGATGTGTCATCCTCAAATATGTCATCAAGGTGCCCTAAACTGTGCAGATGACAAGTTTTGGATTAGAAGAAAAAAGAAAACACACTCGCACCAAAATAATTGAAGACCGTTTTAGCTGCCTGAGTAATAGGATGGGGATGAAGTGGAGGCAACATCACAAGGACTTGTCCCTCAAACTCAAATAGTGAGCTGTTTGAATCACGGCAAGTGGGATTTGAGGGTGAGCTTTATAAAAAAATTAGCCTTGCTAGAATGAGGAGAGAAGATGGAGAGCTATGGAATTAACCATTTTCCCCAATCTTTCTCTCTTCTGAAACAGAAAAATGAATTCCCTTTTGTTAACCTTTTGCAGCGTTTTTGCAAGATGAAGAGAGTACATTGAACACTTAAAAATAGAATATCTGTGTTCTTTGTGGATATCCAACAATTGGGAAAGGTCTGCGTTATTGGAGGGCACTTTGAGCTGGGCAGCACTTAATTGGGGAAGATAATGAAATGTAAACTCTGGCACACAATTGTGCCTCCTGTAGTTTTAGGTGGTAATCTTGGGTCTTGTAATAAAATCCTGAGGCAGTAGCTTAATTCCAAAAAAATGTGGTAAGAAATTTATTTTCTGGATTTCATAAAGCATAATTGAATGGATGGCTGGTTGGTTTGATTGTTCTCCTTGCTGAGACAAAGCAATTGAAACGGCTTTGTTCTCCTATGTAACAGTTCTAGAAAATTAGCACTTGTTTTCTCTGTCTTTTCCTGCGTACATTTCCTATTTATAAGTATGTATAAGTATGTATAAATACCTTCTTGTTCCTTTACACTGGGAAGCATTCAAAATGTTGTTCCCTTGATCTAATGCCAGGAATCCTGCATTGGCAATAATTCTTTAAGATAGGTAGGTTTTTGGAAATGCTAGTAGCTCTTTAAAGCTTTGTTTGTTGAGTGTTAGCTGCCACCACTGGCTATATCTATGTGCCTTTGGTAATCTGACAGCCTTGCTTACAAAATCAGATTACATCCGTGAGAAGCATAATTTCTGTGAATTAGCATCTCCATCCATAGGTACTAGATGAAAAACCTATTTGAGTTACAAAGGCTAAAGTTAACAACGTGGCCATTTTTAATTTTCTGAACCAGCAATTAGAACTTGTCTCATATAATTATTTTCTCATCTCATTGCACAAGCAGCCAGAGAGTCATACAACCCAGTGGCCCTTGCTGTGTTTGCATGAGCTGTATTGCCTCTGCTTCTGCTACATTGTTACATTTACTTGAGGACAGTTGTGGGATTCAACTAATTTAACAACCAGTTCTTCCTAATGACTGGGTGGGCGTGGCTGGGAAGGTCATGTGACTGAGTGGGCATGGCCAACTTGATGTCACTCACGGCAAGGTGGGGTGGCACAGGCGGTCCAAAGTGGCGGTGGCTGTAGCCTTAGATTTAGCTTCATGCAGCAACAGCAACAGTGATTCTCTGATGCCTCATCTCTTGTTGGGTCTCACTGGGATTTTTAAAAAAGATTTTTGCAACAGGAAACTGCGGGTAGCCACTTCCAACCTTTGTTGGTGCAGCTGGGCATGACTCCGCCCCAAGACACTGGCCTGCTAATCCCGCCACCTCTTTGCCAGCGCGAATAGCTTGCTGTTGCCACCTCTTTGCTAGTGCAAATGGCTGCCGCCGCCACCTCTTTACCACTGTGAATAGTCTGCAGATACTGCCGCCTCAGTTTGGACCGGCAAAGAGGTGGCAGCGGCAGTTTGGGTCAGCAAAGAGGCAGTGGTGGCAGGCCAGTCATGACAGCAAAGAGGCGGTGGCAGTGGTTTGGGTTGGCAAGAGGCAATGGCGGCAGGCCGTTTGCACCAGCAAAGAGGCGGTAGTACT